GTGTGTTTGTGGCTGTGAAGCCGACTTATGGTCTGTTAAACTCAAGGTAGAACCCGTGAACGAACCCTTGTGTAATGTAAACACGGTGTTCGAACCCCGACAGTAGGGAACTCAACCTGGAGGGAATTATGGGAAAAGGCAGTTTACTTTTGTAACGGTTGTAATCGGCTGACAGCGTGAGTTGAAAAAGGCTTGAAAGGACTTGACTCACGCTGTCAAAAGATGATTGCGAAGAGCGCCCCAGCAATCATATGGTGTTTCAGAGCAAGAGAGACAACGAATAAATCGTAATTATGAGCAAAATTCAATTCAATCTTTATTGATCCAATATATAAAAAAATCTTTGTTTATATACTACAAGGGAATGTAACTTACGATACTCAGCAATTGTGATTGTGGCGTTTTTAGCCAATGTGTACTTCAAAAATGGCAGAAATTTAGTTGTTCAGGAGACACGAACCAAAACCATGAAATTATTATTATTATTATTATTATTATTATTATTATTATTATTATTATTATTATTATTATTATTATTATAGCTATTTTTCGAGTAATATTTCAATTTCAATTTTAATTTTAAATTTATTTTTTTATTTAAATTATTATTATTATTAATATTTTATTATTATTATTATTAATATTATTATTATTATTATTATTATTATTATTATTATTATTATTATTATTATTATTATTATTATTGTTATTATTATTATTATTATGTAATTAAAACTACAAACGTTGTATATGTTCCCAATATTGTTTCTTGATTCGAGTGCAATGTTAATGATGAATTTTTTAAATTTAAATATTGAGCTTTTTATTGGATGCACAAGCTAGAATAGCATAAATACTGTAGGATAGAGTAACGTCTTATAAATCAGGGTGCAGGCTGTACGGTATAGATTAAAATCCTATATGAAAATACACAAAACAAGAAACCATGGTTAATAGTAATAATTGACAAGATTGTATTTACCCATTCTAAAGATTGAGACGAAAAATCTCTGATTTGATGTGAGGTTATTGCTCAAGAGGTGTCAAAATATAAATTTGAATGATTTTTTTTTTCTTATTTTGAGACAACTTTAGTTATTTCGATACAATAAAAAAAAGGTGTCCTCTTAACAGAGGTTGACCGTAGTGTTAAAGGATTTCCCCTCGTTTCACGGAAAAGTGTCCACTGAATAGGTGTGTCCCAAAGGAGGGGGTTCTACTGTAACTATGTTGTCATTTCCTATATTGTTCTTTAAGCAGCAAGGGCGTCGAGCTGTCTCTTATACACATCTAGATGTGAATAAGAGACAGGTAATAAAACTGTATNNNNCCCAAACCTTGGCTGGGGCCCGGGGGCCCCTAGAGACTATTGTGAGTTTAAATACTATCGTCTAATTTACGATCAAACAGGACTAGGGAGATAGGAAGCACACGACACATTAATTAGAATTTTATTTCACAAACATAAAGGTAATTTACTTAATTTATCATTATCATGACGTCACAAGATGACGTCGCGAGATTGCGTCAACAAAACATCGGAGTTCGTAAATTTGTGGTATCACTACTTAACTAAATTGCAATATATAGACCTATCCGTGTCAAAGACTGCATTTATTGTTTAATAGCGGTTATATAAAATTCAATTGGCTAACTATATTTTTTTAATTAGGAAAAACAGAAATCTATGTATGCAGATAATATTGAAGGTACTAGTACATACGAGTGTTAATAATATACAAAAGGAATATCATTTATAGTAGAAATTTTGCAATTTTGAGTTTCTAAAAATGTTTTCCTAATAAATTTACAGGCTTCCAATTTTAACAACGTACAGTACAGTGTAATTCACCCATAAAATCGATGGAGTGATTACGATATGTACAAACAATTGCGTTTTTACTCTGTTTTGGTCTGAAAATACGCTATGAAGTCCCCCTACTTTGAAAACTGGGGGACGTGTTCCTCCTGTGCCCACCAATCAACGCCCATGATAAGCAGACTAACGCGGCTACACCTTTTATTCATCATGATGATTAAATTATCTTACGCAATTTCAAGGGTGTTCGATCATTTCGGCCACCGAATACACAACAGCCGCTAATGAGAAAAACGTAGTCATAGAACAGCTGGATACGTCAATAACTAAAAGGAGAAAATATGTAAGCCTAGGCCTACAGTGAATAAATTAAGAATTTATTTACCGGTATAAAAACATAACGCCATACTTCCTATTGTTAAAAATCTGGCGGCCGAAATGAGCGGCGGACGAAATGATTTGAGATATCATGATCATCGATATTTTACACATCTTGCGCCTTGTGTTTAACCATTTCCGATATGTTTTATGTACAACGTGATTTTCTAATTAAATACATTTGTTGATTTCGTTTGATGGTTGAGAAGATGACATGAATAAAAAGGGGAAACATTTACTGTATACAACTTCATTTCGTTTGTTGATATGTTTGAATTTTAGATTATTTTTTTTGCGTTATGACATGTTATTCACGCAAAAATATTTTCTGTATTTCATCACTTGTTGATGTTTGAATTGTTGATTTATTTTCCTTCCGTGAAGAAAATGAACATAAATTGTAGCGTTAAAAATCGTCTTGTTTCTTGTTTGTTTGTGCTTTTTAATGTTTGGTCGAATAATTGAAAGATGAAATGTATAGCTTTAATATCGTCGGGGAAGTTACGGTCGACTAAATAAATGAAAGATGAAATTTAAGTTTTTTAATTTTTTTTATTACGCCCGCCGCTGCCTAGAAATCTCCAAAAATATTTGCATATTTCTTCCTTAGGCCTATATATTATATGAATTTAAAGAATTTAACCATCTCAGATATGTTTTATGTACATAATTTCCTAATTATATACATTTAAAGCATTTAGCCATTCTATTACTACACAGTTTAACAATAAAACAAGATACAAAAGATACATGGTGTTATATTTATTTATATGTGAAAAATTTTACAACAATCAGTACATAAGGACCAACAACGACCTGGAATTTTGGCATTACCGCCTAAACCACAGAGGAAGACGAGGTAAGATATTTAAATAAAACTGCTACTTTTAACTATGCTAACACTGTGAAACTAACTACCAAAATGCATCATAACATATTTACATATGAAAACATGAATGAAGGTAGCCTTACAAAAGAACTAAACAGATGAAAAGACACCATTGTTGTCATATTCGTTTCCTTTGTTCTAAGAGCTACTATCATTCAAATGAGTGTGCCTAGTGCCTTAAGTTGAAGACAACACCCGTAAAGTATTGTCTAATAAGAATGGACTTATAATATATAAATGAAATGATTGAAATATTATTATACATAGAGTGCATAATTCCTTATAATATTTGATATTTAATTCCTATATGATATTTATGTAAATTTGCTTATTTTTGTATTTATTATGTAAGTTTCAGTATATAGTTAAATATTTACAGTGATTGTTACAACTTTAGTATCAATAAAAAA